AGCTACATTCTTTTCCTGGACTATATGAATAATCATTGTTAGTGTAATGGTTTAACCCTAGCAAGCAATAAGCACCACACAGCCACTCGCTCAGTCCTTCCCCAGGTGGGATAGGGGGAGAAAAACAGTTGCCTACCGCCGACAGACTGGTGCCCAGCCAGTCACTGAGCAGCGGACTCCCTGCCAGCCTTTCCCACCTGCTCTCCCCCCGTTTTGTATACTGAGCATGATCATATCATGCAGAACTGCTTCATCACTCTGCAGACTGTAGAGGAGAGACCTGTCACATCAGGAGATCAGTAAGGCAGCCCAGCCTGTTCCCTGTATAACAACCAGCATAACTAAGAAAAGGTGATGGGTGATAGTAATAGGCAACTCTCTCTTGAGAGTTACAGAGGCACCCATTTGCCAGCCTGACCAACTATCTAGAGAGGCATGCTGCCTACCTGGGGCTCATATCAAAGATGTCACTGGGAGACTACCAAGCCTTGTACAGCCCATGGATTCCTGAAGCAGTCTGAGGAGTATCAAGAAGGATTACAGAGCCCTGGGAGAGGAGGTAAGGGACTCTAGAGTGCAGGCAGTTTTCTCACCAGTCCTCCTGGTCAAAAGGAAAGGGTTCAAAAGGGCCAGTTGAATCTGGTGAGTTAACAAGTCATTACAGGACTGGTGCCAGAGCCAGGGGTTTGGCTACTTAGACCAAAGCACTTGCTTGGAAAAACACATTTTACTGGGGGCTGATGAGGTCCATCTGTGAGATTTTTTAAGAGCGTCTTCAGTTATAGGCTTGCCAACCTGGTTGAAAGGGTCTTTAAAGCTGCCAGGGAAGGGGAACTTAAATCCATCCTGCTCCTAACAGTTTTATGGCAGTGCCAGTAACAGATGCCCAGAGCCTGGAGAAGGATCACAGGTCAACAGGAGAGCACCTGAGGAGCAGCACAAAGGAATCCCAGCCAGTAAGTCAGCTTCATCGGGGGCCCAACTTGAGTGCCTCTATGCAAACTTACATAGCATGGAGAACAAACAAGAGGAGTTAAGAGATGTACGTACGCCTGCAGGGCTATGATCCTGTTGGCATCACAGAGACATGGTGGGATGGCTCCTATGACTGGAGTGTTGGAATGGAAGGTTACAGGCTCTTTACTCACTACCCTGGACTTCAGGAGAGCAGGCTTTGGCCTCTTCAGGGATTTGCATGGTAGAGTACCATGGGATTAAGCCCTGGAGGGAAGAGGGGCCCAAGAAAGCTGGTTAATATTCAAGTACCACCTCCTGCAAGCTCAGGAGCGATTTGTCTCAACGAAGAGGAAGTCAGGCAAAAATGCCAGGAGGCCTGCATGGATGAACAAGGAGTTCCTGGGCCAACTCAGACACAAAAAGGAAGCCTACAGAAGGTGGAAGCAAGGACAGGTAGTCTGGGAGGAATGCAGAGAAATTGTCCAAGCAGCCAGGGATCAGGTTAGGAAAGCTAAAGCCCTGATAGAATTAAATCTGGCCAGGGACATCAAGGGCAAAAAGAAAAGCTTCTACAGGTATGTTGGTGATAAAAGAAAGACTAGCGGAAATGTGGACCCTCTCGGGAAGGAAATGGGAGACCTGGTTACCCAGGATATGGAGAAGGCTGAGGTATTCACTTTTTTCCCCCTCAGTCTTCCATCTGCAACTGCTCAAGCCACACAGTCCCAGTCGCAGAAGGCAAAGGCAGGGACTGGGAGAATGAAGAACTGCCTACTGTAGGAGAAGATCAGGTGCGAGACCATCTGAAGAACCTGAGGGTGCACAAGTCCATGGGACCTGGTGAGATGGATCTGCGGGTCTGGAGGGAACTGGCGATGAAGTTGCTAATCCACTATCCACCATATTTGAGAAGTCGTGGAGGCCTGCTGAGGTTCCCGCCATTGTTAAAAAGGGAAATAAGGAAGACCCAGGAAACTACAGGTCGGTCAGTCTCATCTCTGTGCCTGGCAAGATGATGGAGCAAATCCTCCTGGAATCTATGCTAAGGCACATGTAAAACAACCAGGTGATTGGTGACAACCAACATGGCTTTACCAACGGCAAATCGTGCCTGACAAATTTGGTGGCCTTCTATGACAGGGTTACAGCGTTGGTGGATGAGGAAAGAGCAGCTGACATCCTCTACCTGGACTTTTGCAAAGCCTTTGACACTGTCCACAATACATCCTTGTCTCTAAATTGGAGAAACATGGATTTGATGTGTGGACCACTTAGTGGATAAGGGAATTGGCTGTATGGTTGCACCCAAAGAGTTGTGGTCAATGGCTCGATGTCCAAGTGGAGACAGTGACATGTAGCATCCACAGGGGTCAGTACAGGGACCAGTGTTGTTAAACATATCGGTGGGAGACATGGACAGTGGGATCAAGTGCACCCTCAGCAAGTTTGCAATGATACCAAGCTGTGTGGTGTGGTCGACACGCTGGAGGGAAGGGATGCCATCGAGAGGGACCTTGACAGGCTGGAGAGGTGGGACTGTGCAAAACTCATGAAGTTCAACAAGGCCAAGTGGAAGGTCGTGCACGTGGATTGGGGCAATCCCAAGCACAAATATAGGCTGGGCAGAGAATGGCTTGAGTGCAGCCCTGAGGAGGACTTGGGAGTGTTGTTTGATGAGAAGCTGAACATGACCCAGCAACGTGTGCTTGCAGCCCAGAAAGCCAACCGTGTCCTGGGCTGCATCACAAGAAGCACGAGCAGTGGGTCAAGGGAGATGATTCTCCCCCTCTGCTCTCATGACATCCACCGGGAGTACTGCATCCAGCTCTGGAGTCCTCCCCACAAAAAAGACATGGGCCTATTGGAACGAGTCCAGAGGAGGGCCACAAAAATGATCAGAGGGCTGGAGCATTTCCCAGATGAAGACAGTTGGGGTTATTCAGCCTGGAGAACAGAAGGCTTCAGGGAGACCTGATAGCAGCCTTCCAGTACCTGAAGGGGGCCTACAGGAGAGATGGGGAGGCACTGTTTATCAGGGAGTGTAGCAAAGGGACGAGGGGTAACGGTTTTAAGCTGAAAGAGGGTAGATTTAGATCAGATATTAGGAAGTAATTTTTACTGTGAGGATGGTGAGACACTGGAACAGGTTGCCTAGGGAGGTTATGGATGCCCCATCCCCAGAGGTGTTCAAGGCCAGGCTGGATGAGGCTTTGAGCAACCTGGTCTAGCGGGAGGTGTCCCTGCCCATGGCAGGGGGGTTAAAACTATATGATCTGTAAGGTCCCTTCCACCTAAACCATTCTATGATTCTATACGTTGTGAAATATCCTTTTGGTCAGTTGGGGTCAGCTGTCCCAGCTGTGTCCCCTCCTGACTTCATGTGCACCTCCAACCTACTCTCTGGCAGGGCAGTGTGAGGAGCAGAAAAGGCCTTGACTCCGTGTAAGCGTTGCCCAGCAGTAACAAAGATCCATATGTTATCAATATTATTACCAGCACTAATCCAAAATACAGCACCATACAAGCTACTGTGAGGAAATTTAACTTTAACCCAGTGAAAACCACTGCGATGAAAAGACTGGGACAACCAAGATCAAGACTTACATCTCCTAGCCATTTATCATCCTCAGAATATGTAGCAGCCATCACTTTAACAGGGTCTATTTGGGATGACCTTAGTAAATGATCCCTACACATGTGGCTATTGGATATGATCTGAGGCCTCAGTTTTCATTCGAATAACTTATTTTAATTTTTCTAGTTGTGCACATTGTCTTTAATACATGATGTTACCTTTTGTAATTTTTTCTGACCATCTTGTTCTTGCACGTCTTCTCTGCTTTCTTCTCTACTGCTCACATGTAGCTTTCTAGTAACCAGCACAAGCCTGCTTTCCCCTTTCTTCTCTCCAGCTTATGAGAAGCTTTCAGTTTTTCATATTCATCCCAAAATGTCACTGGGACAAGTGCAATGTTCTTCCATCCATGAAAAATCCCACTTAGGATTTCTCCCTTCCTTGTTTTCACATTTATCAGGTAACTCTTTCTAGCCTTTGTTAGCACTCACAATGTTTTTCACCCTCTAAACAATAAGGGGTCTGTCTGCAGACAGTCTTTTCACTACCTTTCCCCACTGCTCTTAGGCTCTTATTCATGACTAAAGTGCAGAATGAGAATTCCCAGTATGACTGATTTGTTAGTAGATAACATTCACCCTATCTCACAGACTATCACAGCCATGATGGCAATTAGTGTCGAGAGTCCACTGCTTTCCTAACCAGTTTCTCTTATGCATTGCACACAAGTAGGGCTTACTGTTTTAGTACCTCTTTTTTTAAAGTTTTTTTGAGATTGCACTAATTTGTGATTTAGCAGAATGTTGCAACCATAAAATCACCAGTACTTAGCAGAATACAATACTTGCAATGTACAGTTGCATCTCAGTACAAATGTGATCCTGTTTACTGGTCTCTATAGCATTCTCACCATCATAAAACTGGGTGTCCCCAGTTGCTGGGAAGGAATACATGGGTTGAAGCCAGCTCAAGCCTGTTGCTCTTCTCAAAGCAATTTTTTTCCATAGTTTGGTTTTTATATGCTCTCTTAGGCTGAGATGTGTATATACTTCCCCAGTGCTGGTCTGGCTGAGTCAGAAAGATATGTCCTTGCACCCCTTTGATTAGTTCAAGGATGAAAAGTTGCACAGCCAGTTGATTCACTTAACTATTGTAACTGATTCATCATCTCAACTGTCACAAGATAGAAGACCACACAGGTCCCTGTTTGTGTGTTAACTTTAGCTTTCCTTTTAACAGTTACGGTCTGTCACTCTCTTCTCATCCCTGAGCTTCATGAGCATGTTGCCTCTGTTTGTCTCTGCCAAGGCGTGTCCCGTTATAGGAGTTCATTGATCAGTCATAACATGAAGTGTTTGGATTCTTTACATTTTAACATTTAAAAGGAAGACATTTGCATAAGATGGCTTTTTTTAGCATTGTATACACACTTTATTTTTCAATAATTCGATCATCGTTTATATTGTAGGTCATGCAGGAGTGTCTGCCAGCATGATGAAGAAAAGAACTTCCCACAAGTAAGTTGTTAGTATTTTTACTAAAGTATAGCTCTCAGTAACTGGAAGTACTGTTCTAGAAATATATCTGTATTGTTCCACTCACTTTGTTCTTTAAAATCATGTGGAATAATATTCAGTCTGTATATGTGTGTAGAATCAGACTTTTAATTCTTTCAGGAGGGTGGTAGGAAAAAATGTCCCACAAATGGAATTTTAAACATCGTTTTGACTGTTAGTGTGAAATTATCCTTGAGTACAATTTTGTAATTCTTTCTGGAATTCAGAGAGAAGTTGCAAGCCAGGAATAAGCCACATTTACTGCAGGATCTCTGCTCTCTGGCACAGAGTTCCTGCATTGTCACCAGGCCAATAGAAACTGCAAAGCATGCTTACTGATAGCTCAGTCCAGAATTAATTTTAGAAATAGCTAATCTTGCATTCACTCTAACCGTAGTTTTGAAAAGGATTTTTCATCATTCTAAAATAAAGAATATACTGAAATACTTCTGTAAGGAAGCTGGTGTTTGTGTGTGAAGGATACCTGTTTATCCTACACATCCATGGCATGTATTTTTCTGTCTACAACATTTTTAAATGGTAGTAGCTGAGTATTGGTGAGTAGCTGTGTGAAAATAGAGATTATGTTCTGGGCATAATTGGTCTTGGTGTCAAACAGCAAGATGTCATATCTGGCTACCTCTGTTGGGAGAAATCTAAGCTGGGTAAGTGTGAAACTTAAATGTTACTAGTTGTATTTGAAGTGTAAAGTCTTATAGTGGCACATCAATGGAATGTAATTTGTTCGGCGGGTGTATTTTCTACAATTAACATAGTTAATCACTGCTAACAGTGTTAACTATTTCCCAGAGACAACACCTGATCTAAAACTAATCCCTTCCACTAGCTCATCATTACCCATTCTTGTCTATCTTCATAGAAGGCAAAGAGAAACATTTATTTGTCTAGGGACAGGTAGAGTTGGTTAAAACTTAATTTCTCTTGTTCTCTTTCAACCGCTCAGAGAAAGGAGTGTATGATGGGAAGACTATCAGAGGTGGGTTGCCTTTTGTACTTGAGGGTGGCTAGATTGTCTTTATTGTTGTGGTGATATACACTTATTTAAACACCGAAGCAGGCTGTACATTTGTTAGCATAAAGGCTTTTATGGGGCGTAAGAAGTTTTGATCCTATGTGACGTGATTTTGAGGCCTTTAACTTAAGCATCCAGCTTAGTTCTGTGGTAATTTAGCCTAGTTCAAATGTTTATTAATTATTTAGTGAAGGTTTTTTGTACCAAACCAAGGTGATTTCTTGTGTGCTGCTCACTGACTTGCCTGAGAATGAGACATAGTGGACAACGGTAGCAGTTTACTGTAAAAGAGTAGGCTATGAATGACCGTGTAATAATATATGCTGGTACTACTCTGAGCTGTTATGGTAGACTGAGTTAGTAATGCATGCCCTGTCATTCACTTAGTTATATATTTAGTTACTTCTCATTTAAAGAAAAAGAGTAACAAGCCTACTGGCACTCAAAGGCCATCAAGGAGATTTTAAACTAGCTTCAAAAGGTTTGTTCCTGAGGAAGGAGCCAAGAGCATGGAACAGGGCATGACTCAGTAATTGAGGATGTGATAGAATGAGCAGTGTGGACGAGTCTTCTGAACTCTTGTTTACTAAATGGTAGTTAACTGTTGAGCCTTTTGGAGAGGGTTCTCGTGGTTATAGGACAGTTCTTCGAAGTCCTCTGTCAGTGGTTAGTGGTGGTCTCTGCCATTATGAAACTGACTTCCCTGGCATCAGATCAGTCAGTAATCTACCAGATCTCATTCTTTCCACCTTGGTGTATAAGAAAAGAGTATAAGAAATAGTGCAAGTATAAAACAGTCCTTTCTTCATAGGCTCTCCAGTTTTCTTGTAGTTGGCAGTTTAAGGACTTTGAGATGCAGGTTATACCTGCAGTTTAACTACAAGCGAATTTAACCATTTTGAATTTCTGATCCCACTTTAAGCTAATTTGTAATCTTGGTTCTTGCAGTATCTGAAGGTTAGTTCAGATCCTTAGTTCTACCCTGTGGAGTTTTTCTGAGATGATGAGATGATCAGGAAAAAAACCTCAAGCAACAAAACCTAAATGGGTAACTTTACTTGATAGATTATTGGGAATTGCCATTCTTCTTCTTATAAATGCTAGGTTCTCTTTCAAGCACAAGCCTGAAGTAGCAGTTGATTTTTCTGCTAGTAGTCCTGTGGAGTTCCGCACTGCATTGGTTTCCCTGGTAGCAGCTACCAAAGTTTGTGTGGGGACCATATAAATACGACTTTAAAAAATCTGTGAAGATTTCTTTCTGCCTGTGTAGTCTCTAGAAAGTTTCTAAAGTATCTGGTTCTGATAATGAAACTTTTTCCACATAACTAGGTTTTACTTAACAGCTTCTGCCTTCAAGATAAGGAAGAGGATCTGCAACTCTTGGGGAATGAAGGGCCATTTACAGTGAGGATGCGTCTGATGTGTCAAGAGCTATTTCCAGGACTTGCTTTTTTCTGTTTTTCCTGGCCCCATATTTTACATGTCTAGGAAAACTGTTATTCACTCTTCAAGAGCAAATCTTTGTGGAATTTTAAAGATAATTCTAATGAAACAGAAGGAAAAAATTGTGTCGAGCCTTCTGGATATAGCATCATAGAGGCTTATGTACATTTATTTGTATTACTTGGTGTGTTACAGAAATAACACATTGTTGACTAGATGAGAGGTTTGAGTTCGTTACTTGGTTGACTTACAGGGAAGAGTGTTCATAGCTATTTGTTGATAGTTAGATGCCTCTGCTTGCTTTCTTACCACGTGTTCAGATGCAAGACGGAGTAGGTTTTCCTAGTGTGAAAATCTCAGTTCTTACAGTGTGAACCACTGCAAAAGAGAGTGAGTGGCTGTTCAGTAGTAAAACCTTCAAACAAAAATTTGAACTGCAAGTACACCTGGCAGGTACTTGACTTGTAATTAAATTTGTAATGCTTTTTGCACTCTGAGGTATTTCAAAGGCAGTTACCAATTTGAACTCAGTTATGCAGTCTTTTTCCATCATCTTTTTTAAAATTGTTTCAATTTAAAGTGGATTATGCTTTATAAACAGAAAGTAAAATTGACCGAGGTTAAACATGAACAATGTTATATTTACCTTTTTTCAGCAATGAAATGATTAGCAGCGTAGACAAACATGTTTAAAACTGACACTGCTATATGAATTTTAACTTTTTTATCTTCAGTTGGCTTTATTCTGAACTAGGATTCATTAGAATTAAATAAATTAATGGCATGCAAAACAAACTCATTTTTGTTGTACTGAGAACCAGATCTCTGATCTCATGTTGTAATAGTAAACTGTAAACTATTACTAACACTATTACAGTTTTAAAAACAATAGATATGTTTGAGCAAGAGCTAGAGTTTGAACAGGTGTTCTAGTTTCTGCATAAAATTAGAACCAACTTTGTGGGAAAGTGCTTCTTAACTACAAGAGGTCGGAGTTCCCATAATAATCTGTGCTACCAAAGTTAGGAGTACAAAAACTGCAGTTTGATCTTGCTGAAAAGGTCAAATGATAACAGGTGAAATTTGACAAAACCCCTGGCTAAGATCTTCATGGTGAATGAAAGTGTGGAGGTGGGAGAAGCTTCTGAATGGATCTTATATCTTGTAATGATTACATCTTCAGCATTATACATTCCAGAGTCATGTAGTGAGTGCATTATTCTTCAAGACTCCTTCCAGGATTTAAGTGGTATCATTGTTATTTGTCTTTTTTGGGTAATATAGGGACTTCCCTGAGAGCATTAATTTTTCCTGGAGATGTTTCTCTTTGGTCACTATCTCTAATCTTGGGAAGAATACTGTTTTCTGCAGCTGATTTTCTGCAACTGATTTTCACTTTTAGATGTTGCTTTTAAGCATGCTAGTGGTGTGCATATTTTATTGTCATTTAAATGAAGTGTGCTGCAACTAGTAACCCAAAAAATTATTTTACAACTAAGTGACATCATGAGAATTTTGATCAGGCAACCCTCTAAATAATGTTTTTAGTAATGAACAGATGCATTGTAACATGCTAAAATAGATATATTGGTTTCTTACCACCAACATACTGTCATAATGTTCCTTCGTTTCTTCTGTCTGTACAATTCAAAATTGTCAATTAGTGGTTTTAATAACAGGGTAGAACAAAACTTTTATAACACTTTCAGTGATTTTAAACTGTCAAATAGCTTATATAACTGTTAATCAGAAAAACAACTGTTATTCACCAGAAGGAATTTCTGTGCAACTTCCCTGAAAATAGAGGAAGGACAAAAACGTATATGGAATCTGTTTTCCACATTAAGGAGTATCCCTTCTATTGCCATTATTACTACATATCATTTTTCTTTTGCTATACTAAAAAGGAATGCTAGGGACGTGGTGTTGGTACTATGTATCCTTAAAAATACATGGAGTCAAAAACACACATTGGGGAGGACAAACACGTTGGAAGAATTTTAGCCAGACACTGGTAATGTTTCCACTGACTTTTTCCTCTTGGGGCAAGCCTTGTGTTTACTGTTCTGCAGAGAGCAACAAGGCATTGAAGTTATAATACTGCCAGGTAACCTTGTGCTTTGAGACCTGATCAGCTGCATTTTACTTTTGATATTCAGTGTAGCAAGGGCTAAAATAATTCTTTTGGCTTAAGCAAACTAGTTTTAGAAACAACTGTTAGAAACCTGGCCTTATAAAGCACATTAAAAATGTTTCACTACTTTTCAGTCTGTTTTTCTTTTTTTCCAATACAGTGTAATGTGCTTTATACCCTAACTTGAATAAGGTGCACTAAGCTATAAAATATATTCTCATCTTAAAGCATACAGCTGTTATCTAGAGTAGAATTTTGAATATGTATGTACTTGTTTAATATTGTGTTTGTGTCTGTGTACAGAAAGCATAGAAACAATGTGGGACCAAGCAAACCTATTTCTCAGCCACGAAGAAATATTGTAGGCTGCAGAATACAGCATGGATGGAAAGAAGGGAGTGGACCTGTAACACAATGGAAGGGCACAGTTCTTGATCAAGTTCCTGTAAATCCCTCTCTCTATCTTATAAAGTATGATGGATTTGACTGTGTGTATGGACTAGAACTGCACAAAGATGAAAGAGTTTCAGCACTTGAAGTTCTTCCAGACAGAGTTGGTAAGTGTTTTGGGGTTTTCTGATAAATTCACATACATATAAGCTGACATTTACTATTAAATGTTTTCCACTAATCTCTCCAAACTTCCCCAAGATAACATCTGACCACTTAAATTTATTAGTCAAATTCATTTTTGTCACACAGCAGATAATCTAAGTGGTCTATTTAAATTTTCTTAATTACACAAAGATTTGATGATACCAGCAACTGTAGTGCTGTCTTCTGTCTTTAAGTAGCATGCAGTACGTTCTGGAGTTTTTGTTTAGAGTCTTATGCCTAAGAGCCGTCTGTGAAGTTAACATTGACATTTCTGTTAAAATTTAAACTCTAAGCCATCTTGGCTTTGCTGTCTTTTGTGTGTGTCTGACAGTAATAATGTCACATTTTTCCTCATGTACTTTGCCTAAGGACTTATTAATAGGGGTGAAAGGCATCTTCTAAGTGAAATAACTTGATTTAGTAACAAGGCTTTTTGATTTTTCAGAATTGGCACTGGATTGTTAAACTGCAGGTTTTTCAAACTGCAAAGTTCAGTATTTACCCAAGTAATTACTAATTTATGAACAGAATAAGCTGTTGCTTCTTTTGACTGCAGAGCAATTGGTAGAAGTCTCTAGAGTGGCATTGGGGGAACCAGACCCTGAAGTTTCATTAATAACTTCATAGAACTGTTCTGTGGTTAGCCTCTCTTCGTCTTCTCCCTTGCCTGCCTTGCTCCCTCCAGTGCCTAGGTAAAATACAAAGAGTCTTCACTGCTGTGGCCTCGATTGATGTCCCTTCACCTTGCATTATGGGTGTTTAATCATAGGGAGGACAATGATACATTGTTGTTTAACAAAATTCCTAGTTTTGCAGTTCTTCACTAGTAAACTTTCTGGAATGGACAGTGTTTGTTTTCTGTATGACATGACTGACTTCCAGTCAAATTTGTTTATGAATCATAGTAAAGATTATTTTTCACAACAAAATATATCTGCACTTTTGAATGAACTTAGGAAATGCTGTCATTTCAGCTTCATCTCGAATTAGCGATGCCCACCTGGCAGACACAATGATTGGTAAAGCTGTGGAACACATGTTTGAGACAGAAGATGGCTCAAAAGACGAATGGAGGGGGATGGTTTTGGCTCGAGCTCCTATTATGAACACATGGTTTTATATTACCTATGAGAAAGATCCTGTCTTGTACATGTACCAACTCTTAGATGATTATAAAGAAGGTGACCTTCGCATTATGCCTGATTCAAGTAAGTAGGCCAGTTACTGTATTTTTCTGGAAAGTGGCAGCTTTTTATAATATTATGCTGTGGTTCATTTATGGACAGGAGAACTGACAAAGATCTTGTTACTCCCTGTATTTTTTTTTTTAAGGATCACAACTAACAAAGGTTATAGCACAACAAAGAACATCAGTATTAACCGCTGAAATATTTTACTTTTATGAGCAGCAACATGTGCAGGAAAAGCACTTGCCATAATTATTCCTAATTCTGCTGAAAATATGCACATACTACTCTGGAAGAGTTTATGCTGGAATTTTTTTAATGGAAACTGACAAACCAGAAGTTTTTCACAGTTGTTTTCTTCTAGAAATATCACAGCTTGTTGAGATGGCTCTTGATTTGTGTTTCTGAAGCAGTTCTTATAAGTTGAGGCTTACTAATATATTCAGATTAACTTCATTGGGGTGGGTGTCTTCAATTTGAAAAACTTTTGAGTAGTTTGTTGGGGGAAAGAAGTACTGATCTTTTAAAAATTCATTTTCTCTCACATGTTGCAACACACTAGCAAGAAAAATATTTCAGTAGATTGAGTGATATTTTTTCCCTCCCTTCTTGAAGTGAAAGTCATTGGGGCTTTTCCTATTAATGGAGAAGAATTTTCACAAAATCAATATTGTTCAAGAGATTTGGATAGCCAGTACAAAAAAAACCAGAAAAAGCTTGTAAGAAATACTTTGTTTTTATTTGTCCCAGGTACCTAAAACACACTTCTGACAGAGGCAATCTGGGCTTTAAAGAAAATTAATAATTGGATAACTGTATTGGTTGTCTATATACTTATGTACTTTACATAATTTTCAGTCACAGTTAATTGGTTGAGTTTGAGACTGCCTTCCTTCAGATATAGCACTGATAACTGTCTGCTGGCTAAATTACAAGTGGCACTTATTTGCATAATATCTGTAGTAATCACCTGTGTTTATATATTCCCCCCCCTCACTCTAACAAAAAGTAATGAATCTGCTGCTTGTGAAGAGTGAGCCACAATGGAAAAAGGTTACCTTCCTATTCCTAAAAAAATAAAGCAAGCTCTTTCAGATTTGAACCTTCAAATAATTTCTGGCTTAACTATTAAAAAGGGTTTGGAATGTATTTTAAGTCTGCTTTGCTTTCTTCTACCTTTGGGGGTGAGGGTGAGCTTGTATGTTTTCCATTTAAAAATTAATTGATTTTAACACACTTCTTCCTTCATGCTCACTCGGAGACTATCTACTGCTTACCTGTTTTCAAAATAGTTCTAAGTATTTGCCACCTTCCCTGAATCTAAATGTTTTTGATTTACTTTGAATTGTGTCCTTAAGTCAATGACTGGATGTTAAGAGTAGTATTTTTCAAATCAGATTTTAGACTACCTGGAAGTATGTCTGTAAATTTGGTGGAACTTGCCATAGTATTATAGCTGAAATTTGTAGGGAACTGGCTCTTCTCAAAGACAATCTTTGCATATGTGAGGAGACCAAATTTAGATAGTTTTGTTTATGCTTTTTTTAGTGTGGGAAAAAGTATTGTTGGATTTGTTACTAAAGCTTTGTCAACACTTTGTAATTCCTTTCAAGTGAAAATGTAAGAGTTTAATTTACTTAACGAGAACTTACTTCCTTTGCAAAGGAAGAGGCTTTACATAAAACCGATAGTAAGAGGATAATAACTATGTATGACAGTGCGTTTATAGAAGAACTGAAACAAAAATTGAAAGAGAAACTTCCTAAATTTGTATTACAATCCAATCTATTCATTCCCTGTTGTTTGGTTGTTGTTTCTTTTCTTTCCTTTGGTAGTTCTTTCACAACTCGCATAACTGAAAAGAAAATGGGTGAAATCTGTGAGGGATTCTTAACACAGATTTGTAACAAGACATTAAAGGTTTGTGATTTCCAGAATAAAAGCCACATCAGATGTGACCATTACTAAGAAAATTCCTCACTGGAATACAGAATACAAGTTTATCTAAACTAGTTGAGAAGACAAGCTGAGAAAGAAGGCGTGGTTATCTTCCAGTTCCCCAGCACAGTGCTTTTACCTTTTATCGCATTTGTTCTGTGATTGGCTTGTAACCAATCCCATGGCAACTGGCTTCTTATAAATCACACCTTTTTTATCCAAATTCAGCATAGGCATTGTCTAAAATACAAGGTTATTTCTGGCTAGGTTTTGCTAGATAAGCAAATAATAAGGCTAGACTTTACCAACAGCATTATTCCAATATGGAGTCAAAAGCTGCTTTTAATTAGTTTACACTTACTGTCATCTTAGAGGAGATGTTTTTGTTGCAGTGGCACGCATGCACTGCAACTTTGAAAATTTTTCTGCAACCATACTTCCTAGAACCATGGCAATCCTTAGGTGCTTGTCTGAACAGAACTAATTTCTATGTACTCTGTATTTAAAATGTATGGTTGTTTCATGCAAGTTTTAAAGATTCTGCAGTTGTCTTTCATATTGAAAACTTCCATTAATGTCTACCAAAGTACACTGGTTTTGTGTTCCAGATGATTCACCTCCTGCAGAACGGGAACCAGGTGAAGTTGTGGACAGCCTGGTAGGCAAACAAGTGGAATATGCCAAAGAAGATGGCTCAAAAAGGACTGGCATGGTCATTCATCAAGTTGAAGCCAAACCATCTGTCTATTTCATCAAGTTTGATGATGATTTCCATATTTATGTCTACGATTTGGTGAAGACATCCTAGACATCGTGAACTTTTGCCAAATTTGTGGAACTATTAAATGTAAAATTTGTAGACACAAAGACTTGACTGCTTTCCAGTTTAATGAAAGCTTAAATGTCCCTGCGAACCCACAATCTCTGCCAGCAAAACTGTTTTGTTCTGAATAATAGAAACAAATGTGTCACAAAATGTGTAAGAGAACTCCTTTTCTTGAAGGAAGTCAATATATTTGGGCAGGAGGGAGTTAAAAGCAAAAAAACAGCTGCAAATTCAAGCTGTGTAAAGTTGATCTAGTATTGTAATTATGAATCTAAATTTTTTCATAGATTTTAACTTTTTCTTCAACCTCGCACTCACCTGTTCAACTGCCACATGCAAGTGTAGTTTGATATTTTGATATGCCTTCTTTTGTAACATTAAATTTAATTTCCTGGCTTCTGGCAGTCCTTGTTTTCAGGGTTGGGACAGAGATGAGTTTTCTGAAAGGTTTAAACAGTTTGTGCAGCATTGAGGAGTGCTTAACCCAGGTAACATCAACCTGCTGTGTTTCTACACTTCATTTCAAATTTAGCTTTTTAAGAACTTGCAGTACATGGAAATACTTGTGCATTTTTAGTAGTCACAGGGCAGTACGATATCAAGTGTTTGACTTACGCACCTTTCAGTGAAAAGGCTTTAAACTATAAAAATATATTTAATCTATATAACCAGTTAATTAGAAAATGCAGGTTAATGGCCCATATTTACAAGTTGTAGGAACCAGTAAAAATACATGCAACAAGGCTGCCTTCAATCCTAAATGTACTTCTTTCTTTGTTATACACACTTCTTAGCAAAACCCAAGTGCTTGGTGCCACAACTTTTGAGAGTATATATGCTACTTCAGAAGACTTTAGACTACACATTGGCAATCAGTAGTCTCTCATTTAATATCAAAACCTAGCAACCTGAATGTTTGTGTGTGGACTTAGAAGCCTAACAGTAGTTAATATTTTACATGGTAAATACAATCTCATGGGGGGGGGGGGGGGTTGGGCGTCCTTTTACATTGAAGACTTACTTAAGAGAAGGAGAAGCATTTGTTGCCTTCTGCTCAGTCTGTTGCATTTCTTTGTATGTTTGTTTCAGTTTTAACCATTTTGGTTCAAGAAGGCATCTTCCCCACTTCCTCTTTTTCTGGCTTTTCCACATAAGGAGTGTCTGGACAAATCTACAGCTTAAACCTGTTGTTGCCTTTTGTGGTGTACATTGTACTTGCTTTGAGGTATGCTGTTAACGTGAATTTCATTCTGCGAACACTAGAGTTCTGCATGCCAGTGGTGTACTATCTAATGGAAGCTATAGGCAGTCTCAGTGGTTCAGTCATCAGCATTAGATTGTGGATGTAAATAGCAGCCCACAACAGCAAAATCCTTTCACGGTTTGAATCTTGCAAGATAGTTGTAAATGAAGACTAGGATTTCTTAAGTGTGGCAGCTTCTAGAAGTATCAGAACTGCAACAACGGTCAGCACAGCAACAGAATTCTCATGTTACATTAAGACTGAGCTCTGTGAGTTGCAAAGAACTGCTTCACAGATATACAGTATGTGGAGACAGTCAACACTGCTGATGGAAGGAACAAATAAATATTCTGATATCCAACCGTATGCCATTAGTGAAAGGATGCAGGAGAGGTGCTGTTAATCAGAGACCAGAGGTACGAATGACCTCTATTGTGGGTATTCTTGATATTGAAGACTCAGTGGTTTAAGCCCCTTTCTGTCCATTTTTTTGCCTGATTTCATATTTTAGCCTTAAGGCTTGTGCCTCATTATGCTGTTGAATGGTAATAAATACTCGCCATATAAATGTGATACCTTAATTCTTTGTCCATTGCTACTATATTGCATTATGTCCAGTATTTCATCATGGGCAACCAAAGGCAGGCTATTGTCTTTCAGTGAATAGCTTCTCAATGCAGTCCTTAAGCACTAAGTACCTGAGTCATAAATGTTCCTTGTGTTTTGAACAAAGTAAGCAGATTTGCAACACAAGTGTTTTCATCCTGCAGATCTGTTAAGTGTTTTTATTGACTCTTAAGAGTCCTGCATGTAAATCTCAAAGCTGAGCCTGGCTCCATGAGCCCAAGTTACTTGTGGCACAAGAATGAATGAGTGTATTAATTATACACAAGATACATTAATAACTTAGTACACTGAACTTCGGGCTATATATCTGAGGAATACAAGGTTTGTTTTGAAATATCTGAGGTTTAGGTCTACTGGAACATTTTAGTGTTAGGCTTGCATTTGTGGGTTTTCTGCAAGCCTCTTGAATACACTACATATTCTTCCAATTAGAGTATGATCTATAAACTGTAAATTTTATGGTTGTTTTTAGATATCCCCATTATCTGTTGTGTGGATATTTCTTTTCATCTTTCCCCGCACCCCCCCCCCCCCCCCTTTTTTTTTTTTTTTTGATAGCTTAAACTGCCTTTTTGAGGCTTGAGACTAATTCCACTCCCTGCCCATCTGCTTTGGGCTTTGTTTTAGGCTCATGTTTCAGATCTGCATGCAGTGCTTGCGTTACCCTGGTAACTAAATGTTGGTTCCTTGTTCTAGGGGTTCAACATTACTTTCCAAAATCACATAGGGCTTGTGATGGCACAAGCCATGGATCTTTGTATAAAAGTTACTCGCCTTTCACATTTACCTGCTGTAGTATTGTTGTATATTGTGTGTGTGCGTGTGTGTGATGTCAGGCTGCCATGTAAAACTTCTTAAAAGGAAAAAAAAAAAAAACTTAAATGCAGACCATCCTTTTTTGCATGCTTAGAGGGTTAGAACGTTCAATGTAACAAACTAAAGTTGCATGTTAAAATGTTTTAGGTTTTTGTTTTGTTCTGTTTTTATTTTGTGTTCAGTTTTTTGTGAATTTGCTTATTGTGCTGTTTTAATGGTTGTTAGTAGGATTAAATGCACCGGTGAGACGAGCATAGTGCCAACGGAAGGTAATTTTCCAGTTGTATGTGTCATACAGCATTTGAAGGGACCGTGTATTCTGTTACAGAAAAAAATAAAATCACAGTTGATTAGCAAAACACTACATTTTCCTTCTTTCTTTTTGAGTGCCAAATCCTAAACTATGTTGGAGTAGACTATGGGGAAAACCCTTTTTATTGCAACAGGTAGAAGCCTTCTTGAAGTGAGTTATTTTAAAAGGGAGGCTTTATCTTCAGATAGAATTGACTACTTGCTTCAGGGAAAATAATTATGGGAAAAACAGTTTCTGGTTCCTTGAAAATGCTGTGCTTTTTGTATTTTACATCATTAGTGCAATTTGGATGGTTCTTGGTATGTGTATAGTTCAAAGGTCTTCGTGTTCACATTTTAAAATTAGGTAATTACTTCATCTTTAGAGCTTGGTTTCATTATTTTTATTTTATTTTAACAATGTAGACAGTTCCCTGTTCTCTGCATTTAGAAGTATAAACACTTTAAATCTGTTACTTAATTCTGTAAGTAATTTTTATAATTATGATGTAACTCTATCCTTAAAACATTTAAAATAAACCCTTTATGTGCAACTTATGACTGTAAACTTTGTTCTCATGAGCAAAATGTAGTGATGTGATTTCAGATTGTGAAGAAGCATTTTCTTCAGTTTTCTAATTAAAAAGAATTATTTTACTGCTGAGCCATATATGCTGGTATAATACTTGCCCTATGAAATAAGTTTGCTTGGAAAGCCAAATTTTTATTCTTTTTTCCAGGTAGGTATAAACGCTGATAAGATGGAACTTGGCTAAGGTAAAGAGCATACTGCTTAATTTGTATTTTACCAAACACATAAAAACTCCCGTCCAGGGGATTATACAAGTCTGTGAAGGAGTCTGTATTTCCAGAGCACAGAAAATATTTCAGCAGTGGGGAAGAGCAGAAGAGTTTGGCAGTGTTTAGGTTGATACATTTGGCTGCTTTGAATTAATAAAATTCAGAATTCCAATAAGCACATTTTACTGATGATAAAAAAGCAAAGTTGATCCAAATTAGAGGTGATGAGCAGAGAAGGTAACTTCACCATGCTGCAGATTTTTTAAAGCCATGTAAATTGTTCCGATTAATGCATGAAGACTTAATTATTTTATGTTGTTAAATAACTTAGGCAGACTTTCAATATTGAACAGATTTTCTTTATTCCTACGTCTTTTAACAAAGGAGAAAATGTTATATGGATACCGCAAAATACATTTTTTGTCACCAAGCTTATTAGATGTATACTGAAGATCTTGGAGCATGCCAGCATGCAGTTGGGATGAATATCCAAGCCTCTTCAGTTCCCTTAGTTCAGTGTCCTGTTTATCGTATCCTGTTGCCTGAGAAACCAGTCCCAGTGAAGATTTATATTATGTACATCTGCCAATTAGGGGGAGTCTAAGACTTTGCTTTAGCATGAGCATCACATCCAAAAAGCAGATGTTAATCTGTGTGAGCTACACTAAATGATAGTCAAAAACAGATACACTAAGATTTTATCACTAATACCTGAACCTGTTCTGTATTATGGCTGATAAACCAACCTCAGTTTTGCAGCATCTCTTTTCTCTTTATAGAGGAAGGAGCCTTATAAAAACAAAGATATTCTTCTTCTCTATTACTGCAGTAGTGAAACTGCTCCTGAAGGCTGGTTGCTTAGGAGCTCATTTACAAGCAGCTCAAATGTCGATGCTTTGAAGACAGTAATGTCCCACAGGTTTAGGAGGGTGGTGGTAGAAGTGCTACCCAGAGCTACAGCTCTTATACTACTGTACTCTGTTCTCACATCTGTCAGGTTCTTCCTTGTGTATATGAACAGAATATATTTTCAGAAAAAAAAGAGCTTGCCTCTCTCTTGGCTCCATGAGTTATTTATTTTGAAATTAGTAATTTTTAATTCCTGCTGTAAACAGTTGAGCTGCTGATGACTACAGTGGACTCTATTGTTTCTCAGAAAGGATAAACTTAGGATATTTTGGAGGAGGTTGGGCTGCTGCAATTTAGGATTATTAAGGTCTAAAAGGACATATAGGATCAGGTCAAGCAAATGACAGGTATGTACTTTCATCCTCAAGCATTGGATAATTAAGTATTTTCACCTTTTTTTGCACACTTAGAAGCATTTTTTCAATCTAACTATAGTTTCTTTTTCGGTAAGTTCCTGCCTTGGCATGTTACATCACCTAACTCTTTTCTCTGACAATATTAATACCCTACCATTTTAATTCTTTTCAGGATTGGCAGCCTGGGAAAGTTATCAGGCTACTAAGCATTTTGTTCAGGCTCTACTCTTCCCATTTTAATAATTTACTGCCCTGTGAATTCCTTGATTACTCTTCTAAGTTCAGAGTGCAGAGCTGCATGCACAATAGAAAGCAGATGGGGTCTCACCAGTGTAAGTAAGGTGGTTTACTTAACACTTTCCTATTCTGCTTAGTTGTTAATTACAGATTTCTGCATTTTTTTTTTCTGAAATTAGTTATGATTTGTATAACTTCACTTGTACACAATTTGTGTAAATGGTTTTGTAGCCTGGCAGTTAAAAAAGCTGTGTGCTTTCGCACTGGTTCTGTCCACCCCACCCCTGTGCAATTAATCCATAAATCCTTAAATGTACTTGTATTCAATGGAGTCTGACTTCTACACATCCTTTCTGAACTTTTTTATACATTTTGGTGCCACATTGTTTCTCAGGTCTCTGCACTTAAGACTGACCTGTTCAAATCTAACTTTGGTAATGAACATGGACATCTGTAAATTTACTTTGATTTGTGCAAACTTCTTTTGTTACTTCTTAAGAATGTTCCACCCAGACCTGACATTTGAGAGGCATATTTTTGTTAATAA